CCGAGGCCACAAGTGAGATTATCCTAGAGGTGCATGTGTGTGAAGTGTTTTGATTTCAAGTGTCTATCTTTGAGATTATGTTTTCTAATGATTTATTTTAATCTTGAAAATGCTCATTTCTCAACCAAATCAAAAAATGTGAACAACAAACTTGCTTAACTTTTAATCACGAATCCAACCATATAAATTTCAAAAGCTATAGATCAATGGTTAGGATGAATTTTGTTTGGTACCAAACTGAACCTTAAAATTTTAGAAACTTCAGTTTCAAAATTATCATCACATAGTCAATTAAAATGAAAACTAAGGACATGGTTAGCTTTGGGGCAATGATACCTACATGTTATATTTTGAAATCGAAAGCAAATGATGTATGGATAAGGATATCAAAGTTAGATAAACTTACCTTTGAAGTGAGAATCGAGTTTAGAGTTAAAGCACTTCTGGAGGTGTTAGGATGATCTGGATAGCTTCACTGAACTCCCAGGAAACTTTTGCAATGCTTACCTTGGATTGAGAGTGCCTCAATTATTCTGGACAAGTCAAGTTACAAAGCTCTATTTTTTAGTTTGGAAGATTTTGAAGATGATGTTACAGTGATGAAACAGGTCTTTGGATGAATTCTATATGAGTTATAGAAACTTTGCAAATGATTTAGAGTGAAAACGCGTGAGTGGATTGGGTGTTTGGTGTTCAAAGTCAGAAGTTGCAACAAATGGAGTTTTTTGAGCAATTCTGAGTTTGAGAGAGTTTGAGAGGGTAAGAGGGCTTGTCTATTCATGTCTTAGCTTGTGTATTATGCTCTCTATTTATTGTAATATTTTTAGAGGGTGAGAGGACTTGGTTTACAAGCTATGGAGTTCTGGTTTGGTTGAGATGAAACAACCAAGTTATGTGAAAATTTGTGTTCCAATGCATAGTACAAGAGGGATATGAAGTGGATAGGAGCTTTAGATATGTTGCTTCTGAGTATTAATGTTGAGTGTGATCAGAACAAACAAGTTAAAGGCTCAAGAAGTTAACTTTGTGATTAAAGTCACTTTATCAAAATGGCAATGTTAACTTTGTGCCAAAATGGAATAAGCACTTAGACAATGGCTTGAATACTTGGATAATAGATCAAACTTTCGTGCAATCTTCTGATTATAGGTAGATTTAGGAGTTTAGAGGCCTATAAAGTCATATTACAAAGCATAACATGAAGATTTGTTCTTGAGTTCTCCACAAATATGACCTATAAGTCAAGAATGGATGCCCAACTTTATCTCTTCGATTCTCCTTGCTCAAGAATGATAAAATTATATTATTTGACATTTTGGAAAGCTTGAAACATTGTCTAAAACTTTTATGTTGTGAGTTTTGGCTAAATAAAATTGGAACTTGGGGGAAAATGGCCATCAAGTTGGGACAAAAATCTGATCAAAACTTATAAACAATTTTCTAAGTGTTGGATAAAAATATCCTAACTTCATTGGCTTATATCTCTTAATCCAAGCAATTTTTCTAATTCAACCCTCATTAACAAAGTTGTAGGATTCATCAATCCCTACAACTTTCATGTTGAAATTTTTCTTTGAATCAGCTTGCATCTTGAGGAAACTTGCTTGTGAAGTTAGGGTTTTGTTAAGAACAAAAGCACTTAGAATTTTTCTAACTGTTAGAAAATTTTTCCAAATTTGACTTTTGTTGACTCTTTGATTTCTTGATGATCAAGTTTCATAGTTTTTAATATCTTGATGATTCTTAACTTTTGAATTCCAATGTTGACCAAAAAGTCAATGTTTGATTTTTGAGTGACTATTGACTTTTCATCAGTTGATTCAAATTTTCAACTATCAATCACTTGCATATTTGGAAATTTATTAAGCCATGTAATTATGTTAAGATGTTGTATTTGAGTCCTTAAGATCATGCTTCAAACCATTAGGTCATGCATTAGGTCAACAGTCAATGATCAGTCATCCTCAGTCAAAACCCTAATTTAGGCAATTTTTGACTTTTGATGATTTGAGGGCTTTCCTTGAGGAATCATGGTCAAACCTTGGTCAAATGATGAATATTACCTTAAAATGTTGATGTTGACAAGAAATCTTGAAGTTTGACTGTATGTTGACCATAGTTGACTTTTTACCCAATGTAGTTGGTTTTCAGTCATCTGAGCCATTGACTGGGCAAACATGTGAGGCAAGACTTGAAACTTGACATAAGAATTATTTAGGACCTATGATGAACCATGAAAGTAATTTTAGTCCCTTGCAACCCATTATTCCTTGAACAAGATGGAACCCTAGTTGTGGACCCATTGCTTAGGAGGTGACTTTGTATGATCAACTCTTGAGAACCCTTGAGTATTTGAAAATATTTAGGAGCATGCTTTGAAGAAAATGGGAGGGAAAATTTTGGGGTACAACACCATCGAACGTCTTTTATCCCACAGGAAGTGAAAGGTAAACATCAAGAAAACTTGAGAAGGGAGAAGTCACAGTCTTGCGACCGAGAGATCGGGTAAGGGAGTCTATTACGCGAGGGGAAGGTATCAACACCCCACATGCTCATAGTACTCTACTATATCCATTCTTGTTATTTATCTTATGGGTGTGTCTAATCTATGCTTACTGCTTATTGCTGAGGAAGAATGTAAGCAAAAGAAAAGAGAAAATAATGTAGGGAAAATAAGGTTGTGCTCGCTTGGGCCCTACCCCAATGCCTACGTATCTTTTTTGAGGAACCAGAGTTACTGATGTTCTACTCACATGTTTTTGTTTGTTTGCATTTTTATGAACAATTTTAATTCCGCCTTCTGCCGCAGTTCGACCTTTGGAGACTCACGCATTGGCACTAAAGTAAATTAACATGATCTTACCTGAAAATAGTCTTGAGTTACGCCCTCAAGGCAAGATGCCACATTTGATTGCTTTGTGTTTTGTTACCTTGAAAAATAATTTAAGTACGCTTAAGATGCTTTATGATTTGCTAAGAAAAACAAATTTTTAGTTTTAATGCATATGCAAAAGGGGAAGAAAAGAGTCTACGGGGGACTAGCCTATTTCTAATCCTAATGTTATCATAAATGGTAGCCCTATGTCAAGGATGAAAGGGAAATCTCTACCTAATGTTAGCATGCATGGTTTGCAACTCAAGGTCTAACTTGCATCCGAAAGGAACAAGTACATCCTAAGGGAACATGGTATAGAAAGTGAGTAAGCAAACAAGCTCGAAAGAGCATACACATAAAATGGTAAAGAAAAGAAGCGAAATGCTTTAGGCGAGGGGAGTGTATCACCCGAGACAAAAAAGCGGTAGTGAAATATAAAAGAAGAGAAATGTTATAGCTAAGGGGAGCGGATCACCCAAAGCAAACAAGCGAGAAGGAGATGTAAAACAAAAATATGATGTCTAAAGCGACTGAACACCTAACTAAGATATAGAAGATCGAGGTAGGCGACAGAAGGAAATATGAACAATCAGGGAGTTTCGGCATCGGCCAATGAAATCTTCTGAAAAAGTGTAGGAGTTCGATTACAGAACCCTTTTCCACTTGAAAACTCGATGACAAGAGTAGGCACAACTCTGAAGCATCGTGGTGTGTCACGAGCTAAGGATGATACGGACGAAATTGCAAGGGTTTATTACTAACCCTTTACCGCTCGCATTCTTTTGAGGACTTATCATCTGTAATATATGCGAGCACAAATGTAAACACACCTGCAAAATACGTACACAAAGGTAGGGATTTAAACAAACCACACACAAGTAGCACACAGGGGCAAACAATGAGGGATTTCCCTAAACGGGTCTTTAAATAAACCAGAGGGGTTCCTGACATGATCAACAACAGAGACCCTGTCATACATCTATGTTCCTACTTCTCATGGCATCAGAAAGCAGTAAAGTTCCTACTTCTCATGATATCTAGGAAGCGGTAAAGAAATGCGATAAAGTGCAAAGAATTTAAAAGTAGTAGCGATGACTACCAAAAGTAAGCAGATCGTCGAAAGCGGACGAAAGCACTGGAGAAGTAAGGAGTTCACGTCGGTAAAGCTTCACCAAGAAATAAGCAAAGTCAGAAAAAATATAAAACTAAGATAAAAGCAAACGCGTGTTGCGAATGCAACACATAATCAGAAGTTCCTGCACAAAGCATCATAAAGTATCACATGCATCTGGACAACATATAATATGATATGAATTTCTAAGGAAGGTGAAAAATAATGTGTGTCCCATCATAAGCGAGCATAAGCCATATGCTTTTATCACAGAACAATTTTTTATTTTACATGATCGAAAGCACCTAAAATGTACCTTGCATAATGAACAAACGCGTCAAAAATAACGAGGCACAACGGTATGAAAATATGAATAAAAAAGAAAAAAAAGTATTTTTTGTTAGTTTTTCATGTGAGGGAAATTCTATCAAAAACTAAAAGAATGTCTAGAAAAATTATATTATATCCTACAATTTTTTATTGATTTTATAATTTTTCATTTCAAGAAATATAGAAAAACAAAAAAAATGTTCTAAATCTTAATATGAAAATATGAGGATCAGAGGGGTGTGAGTTGGATTCAGGAGGGTGTAGTAGAACAGGCCTGATGCTGAGCCCAATCCAAATCATAATCCACAAGATTTTTGACATTTTTATCATTTTTGATATTGTTAATTAAAAAATAAAGAAATAATGAGTGGATACAGGGGAAAGAAATGCAGCGTTTGGCCGGTTATGCTAGGGTAAGAAAACTGACGCTTCACATATCTTGATGTTTAGGGTTTAGGGTTTAGGGTTTAGGGTTTAGGGTTTAGGGTTTATGTGCTAGATTCCAATTCTTCTTCTTCCTTCGAACCTCACGGTGAACGGTGTTGCAGCCTCAACTCTACGTTCTCCGATTTCAATTCGCCAATGTGATCTGTGAGCATATAACCTCACTCGTCTCTTGTCTTCTTCTCAGAATTGACTCTACTCCATTGCATTTCGTCTTTGACCATCGAAAAACGCTTCATCATGTCTTCGTCTCGCATCAGTCTTTACCTCCGTCTCGTTCGTGATATCGCCATTATAAAGGAATTGTGGCCATGTCCCTCTTTCGATTCCGTTTTCGGTCCCATCTTTGTGAATTTGTATTCAGACTTCTCGAAACCGAAGTGGACACAGGTATACGATTTATATTGCTCCCTCCTTTTCTCCTTCTTCTTTGAGTTTTTGATTTTCCGTAGAAGATGATGTTGATGATCGAAGATTATGTAGATAAGTGTTGATGTGAGGCGGAATCAGTGAGGCAGGGGGCCTGTCAAGGCGTCGCTGATGATGATGAGGATGTGCTTCAAAGATCGAAGGTTTGTTGAAGAGAATCAAAAAGATTGAAGTGGTTGACGAATACAGATAATGAGAGAACTCTAATTTCAAGAAAGATGAAGTTTTGTTGAAGATATTTTCTGGTGAGTTTGTGAGAATGAATCATTTTTGGTGGAATGTTTCATCCTCCCTCTCTCTGAATCTTTTTGGTTTTTTTCTATGAATTCAATTATGGTTTTCAGAGAGGGAGAGGGAGAGTTTTGGTTTTTTGTGATTTTTCTGAGTTGTTGAAGAATGGTGAAGATGAGGTAGAGAAAGTTGAGAGGATTTGATGGTGATTTTGCAGAGAGAGCTATAAGGAATTAATTCGGGTGAGTTTCTTGTGGTTTCTTTTATGTGAAAGTGTTAAATGAATTGTATATTGAATATTCATTTGAATGAGATGTTTTGGAATCTAATTGAATAAAGTTGGATAAAACTTCCTCAATACTTGAATAACATCATGAGTGGAACTTTAAGTTTGAAACTTGTCATGACAAAAAGATCAACACTTTATTTCCATCATTCAGAAATCCATGTCTATTATTCTTTAATGTTCCAATAAATAATGAGCAATTTGAATGGAGTTTGCACAACCTTGCGAGATTTTGTTGAATGATAATTATGAATGACGGATTTGGAAAGGATTTAGTTTGGATAAACTTGGATAATGGATGGTGAAATTTGTGGACGAAGAGTTTGAGCAATGTTGAACTTTGTACGAATGCCTTTGTGTCTTAGCCCTTGAATTTTGCATCTTACTTTCAAAAATATCCTTATGAGTGGATGCTTATCAAATTTTCATAATGGAGCCACTTGAATCGACTTCAAATCCAAGTCATCTCGCATTCTCAATGAACCTCTAATTTCAACTCTCCAAATTCGAGTCAAACTTAACTTTCATGACAAGTAACTTATATCTGAAAGAGTGATGATGTTTTGAACCCACAAATCATATCTTGTAACTCGTCTCTTGAGAAACCAATGTATCCCTAAAGAATCCTCAAGCTCATTGACTCTTATCGTGAATCCTCAAAGCATTCTTATTTGAATATGAGTCATTAAAGAGACCATAAACACTTGATGCTTTTGAAAAAACTCTGAAGATGGAAGTCTTGTAATAACTCGATGCAAGAAATTCTCAATGAATCACGCCCACAAAACCCTAGTTCCACAAACCAAAGATTGTTAAAGAAATAATCTTGAATCACCCTTGAATGAAAGTGAGACTCTCAAAGCCAAAGAGAAACCCTACACCTCAAGATCCTTGATCCCATGCCAAGTTTATTGCTTAATGATGTATGATTTAGATGTCCTAAATCGAGAGTATGTACATGAGATTTATGAGAAGCATAAATCAGATGATCCTTATAGAAGGGTAGGACAAATTTTGGGTATTACATATGCCTCTATTTATTCGTCTTAAACCGTCAAGGTTGAATCGACGCTAGTCTTTCAAATATTCAAGGTGGAAGATGATTAAATATCAATTCCAAAAAAAATTTCTGAGAGAAAGTGCGAATGGGTTATTTTTATTATGACATCTGTCAGGGAAAGAAAATTTATGTCTTTTCTAGTGAGAAGGGTTCATGGATGAACCTAGAAGGTGATTACTCGTAACATGGCAACGGTGCCGAAACGAGGTTTAGAAACCGACATGAAGAGTGCTTGAAAATTGACACGGAGAGTGTTTAGAAGTTGACGATGATGAGTGTTTAGAAAGTGACACGATGAGTGTTGGAAGATGACACAATGAGTGTTTAGAAGTTGACACGACGAGCGTTTAGAAGCCGACACAATGAGTGTTGGAAGATGACACGACGATTGTTTAGAAGTCAACATGACGAGTGTTGAGAATTTGACACGACAAGTACTGGAAAATGACACGATGAGCGTCTGAAGATAATACGAAGAGTGCTGAAGGAAAAAATTCATCGGGGATTCGTGACACATTAACACAGACGCGTGTTCAAAACAATACTGAGGAGTATCAAAAGAGGACACAAACAAGTATCAAGGAAAGGATAACACAAATGAGTGTTTGAATTGATATGGACGAGTATGGAAGAAAGGTGAAACGCGGACGAGTGTTTGAATCATTATGGACTAGTGTCTGAATCAATACAGACGAGTATCGAAGAAAGGTTAAACACGGACGGGTGTGTGAATCAATACAGACGAATATCGAAGAAAGGTTAAACACAGACGAGTGTTTGAATCAATATAGACGAATATCAGAAGAAGATCTGGACGGGTATCCAAAAAAGGTTTAACACGGACGAGTGATTGAATCAATACGGAAGAGCCTCGAAAGAAGATGCAGACGAGTATCTAAGAAAGGTTTAATATGGACGAGTATTTGAATCAATACAGACGAGCATCGAAAGAAGATACAGATGAGTATCAAGAAAATGATTACACATACGAGTGTTTGAATCAATATGGATGAGTGTAATACGGTGGGACAACTGACTTAGTCTTTCTTTTTATCGCAAATTTTGCGGATAGCAAGAGTCGCCACCGACTTTTATTTTATCCAATAAGGAAAGGGTGAAAAGAAAAGGAAAAACCTTTGAGATTTATGAGTTCGGGGTGTAGGTTATGAAAAGGGAAGGTGTTAGCACCCTTTTCATCGTAGTTCACTACGAGCTCTTAATCTCTTAGATCACTTTGTTTGAAAATTCTTTTTGTTCGTGTTTGAAAATATTTTAAAAATGCCTAAGTGTGAAAACTTTGTAATGATTCTTGTATAAGTTAAGAATGCGTACAAAGTGTTTGTTTTTGAAAATATTTCAAAAAAAAGGTGTTTTATGTAAAACGATGTTGTGAGCAAGCGATTACAAGATATCTACCTACTCAAATGTCTTTCGTGTTATTTTCCTCCTGTTTAGATAGTGTTATCCGTACCATTAGTTAGTAGGAAGCCCTATTGTTGGATGTGAAGGGACAGGCGCAGGTCATCGTACAGTCATAAAGGCAACTTGTAGGGGCACTTTAGAAATTTATTGTAAGGGACTAAGGTCGTTTACTGAAGACAGCATCGTAAGGGTCATCGAGGGACTACGATCTTTTTAACCGAGGGTCGTTGCTAAAGCGTCCCCACGTTCGAGGGACATGGCTTTTTTATTCGAAGGCAATAAGTGGGGTTATCCTAGAGGTGCGTATGTGAATAGTGATTCAATTTAGTTATTTTATCTGGATTAGGGTTATCTAACGGTTGATTTAAGATCTTGTCACACATGCCCTAATTACTAGCAGTTATAAGGAGCAGTAAATTGCGGAAAGTAAAGGTCCTACGCTATTACAAGGCTTTGGGAAAGGGGGTACAAAATCATAAAATTGGGGAGAAAAAGTAAACCCTAGTTAAAACTATTACAATCGATAGCAGTTACATAATTGGGAAAAATAAGCTAATGCGGAAATAATAAGGTTCACAAAGATCGTAAAACAAAGAGAAAAAGAAAAATGAAAATCGTTTTGTGATCGTTTGACAAAAAAAGTTGATAATCATCCTAAAGTCTAATTGATTTTAATTAATCAAAAAAGTTAGGTAATTAAATCAATAGAAACTAATTATCCTAATTAATTTAATAAATAAATAAATAAAATCAAAATTAATTTATTATAAAGAAAATAAACTTAATTAATTTTAATGTTGATTAAAGAAAAGCAATTAAGGTTATTAAGAAATTAGGATTAACATAAAAAGGGAGAACATATGGTTAGTAAAAAAAGAGAAAAAAGAATGCTGGAGGTGAGTGTTGAACTCATGACCACTGGCTCTCCAGTATGCACGCCTGTCAACTTAGCTACGTGCCCTTGGTGCTAGGATACGCATCCAGCGCGTTTTGTATCAAACCTGCAAAAATATGAAATATTAGAGAAACAAATTGTCAAAAGGTTGGATTGAACCCAGGCCCTTTGATACTAAGCCTTATCGCGTGCGCTTCTACTGCTGGGACGGCTATACATCCATTAACATAACTGAAACAATAAATATATAATATATAAACAAATATATTGACCTGAGAAGCACTAAAGCCCTAGCTCCGATCGTCTTCTCTGGCGACTCTCTTTTATTCAATCTGCAAAATAAGGAAGGTTAGTAATCAAAAACATCCTACCCACCTAAATCGAGGGATGTGAATCCAAAGGCAATGTTATTTTGATCTAAAAATCCATGGTTTGGCTGCTATAACATAAATGGTACAGATTGGAGGAAACTGGTATCCTATGGTTCTGACTCCATGGGATCATGATTATGATCCAAACCTGTTCAGAGACATCTTAGAAGTGCAAATTTGCAAAGTTTATGAAATCGGATATGCATGGTATAATGTTGTTAGGAGTGAATGGAATGAAGATCTTATAGTGAAAGGGTTGGTAATAATAGTTTTGGAATTCTAGGGTTCTTAAAGAAAAGTTGATGATTTTTGCAAATTTGTGGCAAGGTTTTTCGTGTGTATTTTCATGAGAATGAATGAGATTATACAGTGAAAGATTAGGTCAACGATAAGTGGGCTTGGACCTTGTGTAAAAAAAATATGATTTTATCTTATTTATTATATATTATTAATGAATAAATAAAAATAATTAAAATAATTAAAATAAAAATAGTTTGAGGGGTGTAAGGATAAGGTTTGGGGTATATGAAGAGTATAACACACGTTTGGACTCTTAAACCATGGCCCAATAGCCCAAAATATCAAGCTTGCTCAATTTGAATTTCATGCATTTGCTCAAAACTTCCCAACTTGCAATGGTCATAACTCACACAATTTTTATCCTTTGAAGGTGATCTTGGGCTTTTTCAAAAGCTCAAGATGTATTTTACAACCTCTTTGTTGATCATTTTTGCTTTTGAAGACTTTATCTTTATGTAAGTTTCCTTGACAAAAAGTGTCTTTTTGTTGACTTTTGAAATGACATGTAATGTATTGACTTATATCTCTTAAATGATGCATTTTTTGGAATTGAGCTTAGAGAGACAAAGTTGTAGAGAATTGAATTCCCTTAAAAATGAGCTTTGGATGAGGAAAAATTGATGAAGCATTTGAAAGTTATGATTGGTCAAAGTTCAGTTGACTTCTCCTAAAGAAACCCTAATTTGGCAACTTTCAACTTTTATGATTTGAGGGCTTTTCTTGAGGAATGATGATCCACCCTTGATCAAATGATGAACTTCACTTCAAAATATTGATGTTGACCAAAAATCTTGAAGTTTTACTGTATGTTGACCATGGTTGACTTTTTACCCAATATAGTTGATTTTCAGTCATCTGGGTCATTGACT